GGACGTCAACACCTGAAGTACAAGATTTTCTCCCTACCTCATTAGTGGTTCTTTTGATTTCCAAATTGGCTTCAGTTTGACTTTGACGCAGCTGATTCTGTTCTGTGACTAGAGCATTTATCTGAGAATCGCATTCCTTAAGTTTAGCTCTCCCGTGATTGAGCTGTTCTTCCGCGTTCCGATACTCTTCCTCTAGCTCCCTCACCTTAGAGGCAAAAATTAACATCCACTAGGAAATAATAAACCGAAGGTAAAACCTTTGACGCAAGCTTCTCAACACCAGCTTCCAGCTTCTTTATTTGAGTCTCAGACGCGGTCCATTGCTTATGTAGTGCTTGCTTTTCTTGAAGGGCAGCCTCCTTTTCCATAATGAGTCGCTCTTTCAGACCTTCATGGTCCTATAAAACTTGTTTCAGACCAAAGGATAGAGAAAAAAACGATGACAAACCTTGAGCTCCTTAGATGCGGACGTCACTTCGCGCTTTACACTTTTTATCTGGGTATCTAAAGCCTTAAGTCGACCTTCACGACCTCGGCCATGCTCTGAAATTGCCTGCTCAAGGTTTTCTGCGGTACCAAGGCATTCTTTGTGATACTCTTCCTTTTTCTGAGCTTCCTTCTTCAAATTATCCAGTTCTGCTGCAAGAGCAGCTACTGCTTCACTAAGCTGCAGTACAGCACACCAAACTCAGACCACCTGATTGTTGAAAACAAGTTTTACCTTGTGATGCTCGCTTTGTTCTACACGCTTTTCAAATAGTGAAAAGTCATACTGCTTGAGGTCAAGTTGGGACTTCAACTGTTGATATTTCTTGTGGATGGGACTCACTTTGGCAATCTACAATTTACTGATTAACTGGCTGCTTAAGGAGAAGAAGAGATAAGTGCATACCTCGGCATCAACTTCTGCTAACTTATGCCGATGAGTACTTAGTTTTGATTCGGCTTCCGATAAAGCATGGAGCTGCTTTAATAGCTCGCCGCCGCCTCTGCAACATGGGAAAGTTATTAGCAGCTCAGCAATGTACAGTGAGCACGCACTTCCGGGAGCCACCAGTAAGTAAACCACTCGGTTGAAAGATATCACCGTCTAACGTAACAGAAGCAGTCCTTGTATCTTTGTGAAACGCAACCTGCCAGATAACTTTAAAAAGGAACACAAAGTGCGAGACCCACCTGTTTAGCGACGTCCGTAGTCTTGCAGACGAAAGTACCACCAAACACAAATCCCATCGCAGCCTGTGAACAAGAATAAGGCGAATGTGCAATCGGACAAAATTACCTGAAGCTCGCGGTCGTAACCCACAAGCGAAAGCGCTGTTCTACAGTTTTCTGGACCTACCTATAAAACAAAGAATCAACAAATAGTATGCATCAACTGGTACCATGCTGGCCGCCGCATCTTGAACTCTGGATGGTATCGTGCTCGCTTGAATCTTGTTAAGCGGAATGATCGTAACCCTCCGGCGCAATTTACCTTTCTCAAGCAGCAGCTTACCAGTCTGTTCTGTATCCACAACAACGTTATAAAGTTTGCTTCCGGCTGCAACCTGCCATAAATAATTCAAAACATCAGTTAAAGCAGGAATAAGATAACAAACCTCGAGTGCCACCACAGCTGTAGAATCGTCAACTCGTATAAGTCGGGCTACGACACCTTTTACCCGACGGCGATCAAAGTTATTGACGGGATCTTCGAAAGAAAACTCTACACCAACCAGACTGCTCCCAAGATTGCTAACTTCTTGTTTCAGAGTTTCAACCATCTCAAGCTCTTGCTTCCGACTCTGAGAAACAAAACTTACGGCTAAACACGGAAGACAAACAAGTGAGAAAAGTACCTCTTCCAGTCGCTCCATGTGACCATTTTCATAAGTTACACCCTCCAATGTCTTTAAAATCTTGTCGATTTCAGCTTTTCTCGACTGTAGTTCGACTTGCAGCGAAGACGCTTCTTTCGTTTTGGATTCCAGGGCCTTCTTTTTCTCTTTAAGCTCATTGTCGGTGTGCAGGATTTTGGTGCTAACTTGCTTTAACTCTGTGCTAGCCCGCCCAACGGCAGCTTTTGCATCAGCAAGTTGTTCTGCCAGGGACTTCTGATCTCCACCTCCGCCTTTCCCAGCTTGAACACTCTGAAAACACCAATTAAAGTTCAGAAAGCGGTTACCGCATTCCAGTACCTGGTATTCTGTTTCAAGTTCCTCCAGCAATTTTGAAAGGTTGTTTGTTTTTTCTCGAATCCCTGACGACTCGGTGTCTCCTTTTTGAATAGCGTTAACTTTCTGGTCTACAAGGCAGTCCAAATCGGCCATGTTCTTCAAAAGCTGCAAGGCCAGCAAAACACTTCAGGCCAAATTAGAAGAAAAAAAAAAGGTGCTTCGTACCCGCTCTGCTGAGACTCTTTCGGCATCTAGTAGATCTTTCTCGTTTGTAAAAGCCGATGTTTCTTTGACAAGTGAACTTGAAAGCTTGTCAACAACATCAGCCAGACCTTTCATCTCTTGACCAGCTTTCTTTTCCTTCGCAGACGTTAATTCCCGAATAGTGGCCTCCTTATCTTGAATCTGTGCTTCGATAGTGTTTATAGTTTCCTGCAAACCGTCTATCTTGGACTTCAGAGCATCTATCTCGCTGGTTCCCGCATTCTTAATCTTCTCAGCCTCCACGTAACGATACGCAGTGCAAAACCTGTCAAGCCGTTCTATGTCCTCGTTAGCTTTTGCCCACTGCATGTACTGGCACTTCTCCTTTTTGAGCTTGTCCAGTGCCGGAAGAATCTCCTGTTCGAGCATCTGATCAATCTCGTTCACCTTAGTCTGCTTCTTCTCCAAGGTTTTCAGCGCTGCCACTCTTTTCGTCTCGTACATCCGGGTCCCAGCAGCTTCTTCCAGCATCGACAATATCTCATGGGGCTTCATGTTGAGAACTTTGGTGATCCGGCCTTGCATGATCAGAAAATGCGGGTTGTTCACATTGAGCTGGACTGAATGGAAAAGATTCTGGACTCTGCTGGGCTGCGAAACATGACCATTGATAAGATACTTATTTCTTCCACCCACAACCACCTGTAAGCCGACCAAAGAGCCAGTAAGCTCATAAAGAAAAGAAAGAAAATATTCTAAGTAGAAAAATCCCAAAAGAACAAAGCAAGGGGCAATACCTGGCGAGTGACAGTGATCTCACTCATATCTTCAAATCCAATAGGACTTCGGCTACGATCAGAGTTATCAAAAGTGACCGAGACGGTCGCCTTGGTAACACCCGCCTGGCCCTGCTTGTAGACGAGCTCGTTGAGATTACTGGCGCGGACCTGTTCCAGCTTGGTAATCCCCAGCACGAAGCAGATCGAGTCCAGGATGTTGGATTTCCCGGAGCCATTCAAACCGGTGATGGCGTTGAAGCAGGGATCGAAATTTGAGACGAAGGTGCTCGTCGCGTAAGATTTGAAGCCCTCTAGACTGATCTCCTTGACGAACATGGCGGCAACCTAGGCGCTCACCTCTTGCCGCACCGCGCCGCTTCGCTACCCGGCATTCCTTCCCGCCGACTCCTCCTGAGCTAAGAACCCTAAATGTCGAAATGGCGGGAAATTCAAATGGCAAAAGCCAGAAGCTGACACGTGGTCACGATCCGACGGTTACAAAAAACGCGAACAGGGTAAAAAAAGGGTAAAGAAGCAAAAACACTGAATTTTTTTCTTTCTTCACTTTGTGTAGCCGGGGTCCGCGAGAACAGCGCTGGAGACCTGTTGTTCCTGGGCTTTGAGTAATTCCACAAATTCTCCCACGGTTTCATGAAACTGCTCTAGTGCTGATGCTGGAAGAATGATTGCCGATCGATCACCACCAATTACCTGGGAAAAAAAAAAACCTTAGAAAAAAATTCTAGGAAATCAATCGCTCTAGAAAAAAAAACTATGGAGTGAGCTAGCGAGGAGATTAATGAATCGAATTGTGTGAAGTTTACCTCTGAGATTCGAAGGTACTGGCCCCGGGCATTGGAGCCGAGATCAAAGAAGAACTTTTTTTGCTCGGCTCGCAAAACTCTGGCAGTAGAGCTCATCCGACTCGTATCGCTGCTCGGAGGAGCTACGGTCGGGCCGTTCCTTACGGGTCCGTCATAGAATCCAGCGTTGATGGGCGACGACTCTGGAGCTCCAATCTTTGAGGAAAAAGAGGAAGATCAAACTTTGGAACTTGAGAAGAACTTGAGAACTTACTTGACGGTTCTCGATGGAAGACAAGAGCATTTGCGATGCCTCGTGAATTTCCGCTAGAACATGTCGGAATTGGACCCAGCCCTCGTCGGCATCGTTGCCAGAGGGAACGATGATCGTGCTTCGGACCGACGCTGCCGAGACTTCCGAGATCTATCAACATGGAAATTCATTCTCTTGTTCGAGCTCAAGAGTTCAAAGCTCCCCTCGAAAGGAAAAACGCTCATCACTCACCTTGAGAAACCGGCCTCGAGGATTCTCCCCAACATCAAAGTAGAACACCTGCGCAGGATCGATCGATTGATTGTGATGAATCTCTCTTAGGGAAAAGACACTAAAGCAAACCTTGGTATCCATCTGGAGCTCCTTGCTCTCGAACTTATCATCCCCGTTAGAGTAGAGGTTGAAGAGATCCAAAAACCACACAATGCCGCTCTCCGGGACGATAATTGTGGAGCGCGAGGTGGTTGTCTTCTCCGAGATTTTCAGGTATCGGCCGCGCGGATTCTCCTTGAGGTCGAAGTAGAAGAGCTTGTGCTCCACTTGCAAGCTCTTGGACATGAGCTCCACATCGCCTCCGGTGACGCCATCCATCGCAATCCGGGCGCTCGCAGCTCGCTGCCGCGGAGAATCTGCGAGAAGAAGCCTCAATCCGCCTCCATTTTTTCAAAACCGATCGCTCACACGCCCCCAAACCCTACCGCCAGGCAAACCCTAGCTCTTGCGGTTTGTTCGCGGCAACCAAGCAACGAGATCGTGACACGTGTCAGGGCGGCGTCCTGTGTGGCAGTCAAAAGCTCGGCTTGCATTTAAACCTTAGGGCTTTCTTTAGCCTGGACATTAAAGGATCCACGTCATAACTGACAATAGTTATCGTGTAAACTAGCATTAGTTAATAGCTTCGTCTGGGATTCCATGAGGAGAGGGCCACGCGACGTACCTAGGGATTTGATCGCCAGGCATCAACACTGGCAAGATGAGAGACTGTCAATGCAAGAACACACTTGATTAGCTCCTCGAGAACCAGGAAAAAAGTTCTTCCCACCTGTTTGGTGCACTTGGGTGGATCGATTTCGCAGCATCGATCGCCGGCGGCGCCATCAGCAGCGCCCGCGGAGGAACTCGTCGCGGATGAATCCATGGCGGAGCTCCGGTTTGCAGTGAGCCTGCCAGTGTGGCTCCGGATCTTCTCCCAGTGGTAGCAGCAAGAGAAGAGAGTACTCACTCCGAAAACGAGGAAGAGGATGAGCGCTGTGCCCAGAGGGAATCCCAGCGCTGGCCTAGTCGCGGCGGAGCCACTGGCGGCGATCGAAGACGACGCTGGCGGAGGAGCGCTCGATTCCTCCTCTGGAACTCTTCTGTGCGCGTTTCCCAAGTCTTCGAGCATCCCGCGGCTGCCATATCCTTCCTCGAGCAGCGCCATCAAGACTAGAATCCTCGCAGCCATTGGAATCGATATCGTCTCTTCTCCCGCGTCGTCGATCAAATGTGAGAGCTCCCGACATTAGAGTGATCGATCGCAGCGTCTCCCCATTAGGTAGTACCGGGATTTCCATAGCCCAGCGTTAAGAGCCGGATCGAGGGAGAATATACCCATTTTGACTATTTTGCAAAGGATTCACGTCACCAAACATTTGTTTTACCTCTTGTACATATCTACTCTGACGTTGCCTCGAAATCTTTCTTGGTTGTCGCTTCCATTCGTTGCCAGCTGGAATCGAATATTCAATTATAGTTACCCGGAGGTGACACCTTTAGTTACCTGTGTTAAAACCCTGTGGGCGAGCTCCAGGTCACCTTGAACCCGGCAAGAACTCAACAGGCTTTTCCAGGACAGTAACAAACTTCTACCCTTCCAGGGGTTTACATTTACAGTCACCTCCTGGATAAATCTCTCAGCCTCGTCTAGTAACCCCGCCCTTCCAAGCATGTCGACAAGGCAGCTATAGTGTTCCTCCTTTTGGCCCACGCCAAACTCCCCGTACATTTCGGCCATAAAACGCCAGCCCTCCCGTACGCGCCCGCCGTGACTACAAGCTGAGATGATACCGACGAAGGCGATCTCGTCAGGCTGCCAGCCGTCCAATCCCATCCGTTGAAACGCTTCCAATGCTTTTTCCATATGCCCGTTTCGGGCAAATGCGACTACCAGCGCAGTCCACGCGAGGAGGTTTTTGGTGGGAATCGAACAGAACACCTGGAAAGCGTCGCCTACCATGCCGTACTGGCCGTACATGGTGACAAGCCCGGTGGCGACTTTCACATGCTGGAGAAAGCCCGTACGGATGGCCCTGTCGTGGATGGAGCGCCGGAAGAGGGTGGCGCCGGGCCCTCCGATCCGGCAGGCATCGACGGCCAGGATCATCGTGATGGAGTCGAGCTTTACGCCTTCCACGTCCATTTCGCGAAACAAAAGAATGGCCTCGCGTGGGAGATTGCTTTCGACGTAGACGCCGAGAAGGACGTTCCAGCAAGAGGCGGCATTTGCCGTTTTCGTGATCTGCCGGAACAGGCAAGTTGCGTCGTCAAGAGCTCCAGATCTGCCAAAACAATTCACGAGAGAGTTTGCGACCCTCGTGTTTGCAAGATAGCCCGCCTCGCTCGCGACATTGTAGATGGTTCTCAAATCGCGAATCCTTTTGAAGTACGAGCAGCTAAGAACTGCGAGGAAGCTCACGTCGTTTGGATGAAACTCGCCCTCCAAAAGCAGCATCGCAAACACCTCCACTGCTTCTTGGGGCCGATCGTTCAGGGAGAACCCCGAGATCAAGCAGTTGTAAGAACTCAAATCCCTGTTTGAGCAATCAACAACGAGCAAGCGTCTGGAATCGTCTACACGACCATTGGACGCAAATGCCCACGCCATGGCATTCCAGGAAACGGTGCTCTTGTCTTTCAGCTCTTGGAAAACCTTCGTTGCATCATCGAGAGCTCCGAATCGTCCATACATTGTGATCAGGGCATTTGCCACCTTCGTTTCTAGAGCATAACCAGAAGCTCCAGCTCTCGAGTGCATGAGCCTGCCTTTTCGAAAATCGTTTAGCCCCGAGCATGACTCGATAACTGCGAGAAACGTGATCCGATCGGCCCTGACACCGTCGAGATCCATAAGCTGTGACAGTTTAAGAGCGCCTTTGTAATGCCCATGTCGGGCATTTCCAGTTATCAAGACGTTCCAAGCAAACAAGTTGCGCTCTTGCATGCTGTCAAAAACAAGCTTAGCTTGATCAAGTTTTCCAGATTCTGCGTAAGCCATTATCATTGTCGTCTCCGAGACAACGTTCTTTTCAGGCATTGTGTCAAAGACAGACTTTGCCTCATCCAGATGCCCAGACCGGGCATACACTGTTAGAATAATAGTCCACGAGAAAACATTCTTGCTAGCAATTGCATCAAACACCCTCCTAGCCTCATCGATGCCCCCACACCTTCCGTACATCTCAATCATGAGATTTGCCGTAAAAGTTTGGTTCTTGCGATAATTCTCCACAGCGAGCGAGTGGAGCGTCCTGGCCTCGACCAAACTGTTGCAACGGCGAATGCTGGAGACCAGATCTACAGTTTGGTTTGCTGCGGCCATGATGGCTCATCACAAGAACCACCATAGCTTTCTCTTAGATCAGATTTTCCACTCAAGATCCAAAGTACCAAAAATTCAATTCTCCCTTCTTTCAAGGGCAAAATGTCGATTGACACGCTGCAAGAGTGACGTGGCGGGGCCAGCGTAAAATAGGTCCAAAAGCGATTGCTGAGCTGGCAGACTTTTGCGCTTTTTCATTAGGCTTTGGGCTTAAACCCTATCCACACTCTCGTGCTCGCTCGAGGCTGGAATTGGCCGCCTCCACACCGCTCCCAAGCGATCAAGGCGATTAGATCGGCGCTCGCGGCCCTGGATCCTCCTCGCATCATCGAAATGCCGGCGCTGGCGCTGGGAATGGGGGTTGGGCGCTGCTAGGAAATCGGCGACGGAGGTGGGGTTTTAGTCTTAGATGCTGCTTGCAGAGATTTGCGGGGGAGGAATTCGCCTTCCAGATGGACTGCTCGCTTGCCACATATCGTTGCGGCCATCAGCTTGCGAGTTTTCTCTGGTTCCTCTACTCGCCGTCATAGAAACTTAAAAGGTCCTATCCAGGTACTTCACGAGAGAGAATATAGATCAAGTTCTTCTGGTCCACACAGGTTCTTCACGAAGCAAATCAAAATATCTGCGATAAGCCAACTTTACGCAAGTTCTTTAAATGACTTGAAAACGGAGGTTTTCTACACAGGTACAAGAGAGAAGTAGAAATAGTTCTAGAGAAGGAAAAGCGGGGACTTTGATGGAGAGACCTTGCGACTTTTGTGGAGACGAACGAGCCACTGTCTACTGCAAGGCCGATGCTGCGCTCCTGTGCCTCTCGTGTGACCGCAACGTTCACGATGCAAACGCTCTCTCCAGGAGGCACTCGAGAACTCTGGTGTGCGATATGTGCGTCGTCCAGCCTGCTGTGGTTCGCTGTGGAGCGGAAAGCAAGGCCTTTTGCCAGGCCTGCGACGGCAAAAGACACGCAGAGTACCGAGCTATGCACCACAAGAGGCGCGCTATTGTATCCTACACGGGATGTCCTTCGTCGGCGGAGCTTGCTCGGCTATGGTACTGTGATGTGTCCGATGAACCAGGTGGGAATGGAAGTGGAAATGGAAGCGGGAAGGGATCTACGTCTAAATGTCTGGAGACCTTTCAAGGCTGGGTACCGGCATCAAGTCAGTCGCAGCAGCAGCTCCACCACCCTTCAACTCCACAGGTAGCGTTTTGCTTTTCTTTCGAGGCTTTTCAAATGGTTTTTCTGGTTTTTTTTTTGTCTTTCTTTTCTTTCTAGAGCCGGGAGAAGAAGATCTTCCAGCAGCTGATGATCTTGCAAAATCGGCCCCCACAGCAGGGACTCGGGCATCAACAGCGAGAGAAAGCCATCACGCAAGCACAGACTTTGATGCCTCCACCTCCACCGAGGCCTTCGACGAGCAGCAGCAACGGTGTTGCGGAGATCCAGTACCAGACGGCTCAACTTGGCCTCCACAGCCCGTCCTCAAAGCCCGAGAGTGGCGAGATTTTTCCTCAGCAGGGTGAGAACGCCTGGAAGGCAGCGAGTCCAGACCAGCAGGTGCATTAAATTTTCTTGCTACCGTCTCTACTGACCAGGCCTCCAGCCGAATCTCGTCTTAGTTGGTTATCTTGCCAGCATCCAAAAGGTCGACTAACGCTGTCCAGCTGATATTTCTTGTTTCCAGCTTGCTGTTGCTAGAATGCTCGTCATGTCGGGTCCTTTCTCCTTTACTTCTTTGTCGATACTCATAGTCTTATTTTTAATTCCTTTGCAGCTCTGGAACAACGCGCAGGACATGGGAATCGATGATATCTGCAAAGCGCTGACGGCTGACGACGTGAATGTCTTTGACAACTACGAAGATCTTTTCCTCTCGGCCCAGGACGCCGCTGGAACCCCGTTTCAAGACATTGGAATCGCGTGCCCGAGCATGGCTCCGGCCATGAGCTCCAAGAGCATGCAAAACGTAAGTAGTCTCTAGCCTAGAGGAGCTAAAAGAACTAAAACTTTTCCAGGGATGCTCGAGCATGGACACTGCAAACTCTCTCCAGTCGGACGCTTCCGAGTCGGCGTGTAGAGGCCCTTTCCATCCGGCAGCAGCAGCGGGAAACGTCCAGTTCTCTCCGAGGCCGGCTTGCTCCAGTGGAGTGAGCGGAGATAGCAGTGGCACTGAGTACGCGGACTGTGCTTCGGTGTTTTACTCGGCTGGAGAGCTGTGGAGCTCGACTAGCTCCGATCCTGCGGCGGCCTCGGAGGCAAGAGGGAATGCCATGCTCCGGTACAAGGAAAAGAGGAAAACTCGCAAGTACGTTGGTCTTCCGTTTTGTTTCATTTGAGTTTTGTTTCTCACAAGTTTTGTCACAGATACGAGAAACGAATCCGGTATGAATCTCGCAAGACTCGTGCTGATACAAGACGGCGGATAAAAGGCCGCTTTGTGAAAGCCGGGCAAGTCTACGACTATGATCCGCTCTCTACAACGAGAAGCTACTGAAATTCTTTTTGGAACTTCTTATATATGTATTGTAAAATCGTCTAAAGCTTCAAAAATGTTGTATATAATTTGCTGTATAATCCCATACCAACTTATTCAAGTATCCAAGTGCTTAATATCAATAACTCTTTCTTTTTGTTCTTCAGTACTTGCAAAAAAGATATTTTCTGATTAGATTATTAGATTACTATAAACTTATTTTTTCAAGAACGAGTAGCATGGAAAACATGTCTTTTAAAAAAAAAGATAATTTAATAGAGTATTTATTAGGGTTTAAATATAAATATACAAAAGTGAACAAAAGTGCACACTTCTTTCCATTTAGTGGTGAGTAGCAAGTATGGGTGACGGCATCCACTAACTTGGTGTGATGCCAATCCAGGAACGACGGCCTTGAACGCCCTCATTGAGTCACTTGGTTGAAAAGGAGGAACCTGGACTTTCGAAACTTCTCTGTGAATCACCTTGAACTCCTCCTTCACTGAATCCAATGCATCTTGGACCTCATGACAGCTGCGAAAATAGACGGGAAAGTTGAAGGTGTCCAAGCTCTCTTGGCTTATAATCCCCTGCAAATGTGATGGCATAGGAACAAGCATTGGTTTTTGTCAAGATTTTATACCTCTTGAATGAGATCCTTCCACGCTTCTTGGAAACCATTGTGCAGAGGCCATTCAAGATCTCGTGTGGTTCTTATGAGAAATTTGGAGACAAGGAGGCCTCCAGTGACTAGTTCTTGAGCTCGGCACTGGAGAAAGTTCTGGAGGTCCTCCTTAGCTTGCTGAACAACTGCTTGAATTGCTGCTTGGGGCGAGGATTTTGTCTATGTACATGGTGCCTTTGTTCCAAGCTGGTGACTCCTTGTCAGTGATTTCCCCCGGGATCTACACATAGAGGCCATTCACTTACATCAGAACCAACACAAACTTATACCTTTGAGAGGAAATGTAATGCGAAGGTTGTCATTGCAAAGTGGATGGAAGAGCGAGGAAAGAGCCTGAGGTAGAATGATCCAGGAACTCCACTGAAGAAGTATGGAGGTGTGGAACTAGAGAAAAGAGTGTGTTGAAGTCATTGGCAGTGATATCCGAGAAAATGGCTTGGATCTCCAAAGAGGAAGACGAAGACGAAGACGAAGAAGAAGAAGAAAGCTTTAGATCTCGCAGCTCGATTATCTCTCGCGCTACAAAGTCAACGGCATGAATTGCATTGGATCCGTGGGAGCATCCCAAGTCGGCTCCTCTAATCACTTTCAGGGATGGATCAACCAAGAGTGCATTGCTTGCCATAGCTTGCTTGATTTTGGCCTCGCCATCCTTGAAGCCTTGAGCCTGCATAGTTGAATTGTGAGTGTAACCAGTGCCTCGCTCCATAGTTTTTGTAAACCCTATTAATTTCTATGCACTGGAAAAAGAACTAAATTATATGTGTTAGACAAACCAAGATCCAGAGTTTTAAACGTGAATATTTCCGAAAAAAATGTAACGTATACGTAGAAAGAAGTAAGCCCTATAAAAAACAAAAACAAAAATTAGGGATTCCTAAACCATTGATTATCACCATAATCCTCATTAGTTCCTCACTAGTCGTCATCCCCTCTAAACCATGGACACCGTGAGCTCCTACGCCACGCTCCTCCGCCAGTGCTCCACTCCCTCCTCGATCAACCAAGGCCGCCAGCTCCACCGCCAAATCGTCCACGCCGGCCTCGCCACCGATCGCTTCCTCTCCAATCTCCTCCTCCAAATGTATGGCAAATGCGGCGACCTCGACTCCTTGCTCCGCGTCTTCCACTCCATCCCCACCAAGAACGCCTTCTCCTGGAGCATCGCCATCTCGGCCCTGGTCGACCACCGCAATCTCCCCCTGGCGCACGCCCTCTTCGATCAAATGCCCACCAAGGACGAGTTCTCCGCCACCGCGCTGCTAGCCGGCTATGCCGCGGCCGGGGACCTCCCCTCCGCGGAGAAGCTCTTCCTCTCCATGCCCTCCAGGGACACCATCGCCTGGAACTCCATGATCGCCGCCTACGCCCGCCACGGCCGGATGATCCACGCCAAGACCACCTTCGACGCCGCGCCGAGGAGAAACTCGTCCTCCTGGAACGCGATGATCGCCGGGTATGCCCAGAACGGGCACTGCAAGGCCGCGCTCCACCTCTTCCGCGCCATGAACAACGAAGGCCAGCGCTGCGACATGGTCACCTTCGTTGCCGCCATCGATGCCTGCGCCGGCCTCTCGGCGCTCGTCGCTGGGAGATCACTCCACTCCATCGCCGCCGGGGCCGGGCTCGTCGCCCACGTCGAGATCTCCACCGCCATCGTCAACATGTACGCCAAGTGCGGCAATCTCGACGACGCCACCATGGTCTTCTCGAGCATCCGGAACAAGAACTTGATCTCCTGGTCTACCATGATCACGGCCTTCGTCCAAAACGGCCACACCGATCGAGCTCTCGATGCTTTCCTGGCCATGAACGTCGACGGCCTCTTCCCCGACGCTGTCACCTTCAAGAGCATCCTCTCGGCTTGCAGCCATGCCGGCCTCTTCGAGCACGGCTTCTTCCACTTCGACCTCCTCGTCCACGACTTCGGCATCGCTCCCACCATGGACCACTTCAAGTGCATGGTCGATCTTCTCGGGCGATCCGGACGCTTGCTCGAGGCCGAGGAGCTCGTCCAGACCATGCCTTTCGTCCCGGACGATGTAACTTGGAACACTCTCCTCGCCGCCTGCCGCGTCCACAAGAGCGTCGAGAGAGGGAAGCGAGCCGCGGAGATGCTGCTGGAGCTCACCAGCGAGATCCCTGGCTACTACGTGCTGCTGTCCAACATCCATGCCGCGGCTGGAGATCACGCCGAGAAGGCGAAAGTGAGGGACCTGATGGAAGCCCGCGGCGTGAGGAAGAAGCCCGGGTGGAGCACCATCGAGATCAATGATCGCTTCCACGAGTTCACGGCCGGGGAGAAGTTCCAGCACCCCAAGAAGCAGCAGATCCTGGAAGAGCTCAAGCGGCTGAGTGTTCTCATGAAGGAAGCCGGTTACGTGCCAGATACCACCGAGGTGCTCAGGCTCGTGAACGAGGACGAGAAGGAGAGCCTCCTCTTCTTCCACAGCGAGAAGCTCGCCATCACCTGTGGTCTCATCAGCACTCCACCGGGAACGACGCTGAGAGTCGTCAAGAACCTGAGAGTCTGCTCCGACTGCCACTCGGCCACCAAGTTCATTTCCAAGATCACCCGGCGGAAGATCATTGTCCGGGACCTCAACCGCTTCCACCACACCGAGAACGGTGTTTGCTCCTGCGGCGACTACTGGTGAGCGAGCAGGTTCCTCCTCCCCTAAGCTTGAATCATTTCTCCGAGTGGAGATTCGACAGCAGGATGTATGGAGCTCCGTGCTCCGGATCCAGTTCGAAGACGTTCTCCGCTGCTCGAGAACCCTGCCCGGCTCCGCTCGAGCTGTTGCATGCGCTCAGCAGCGTCCTCCACGACAAACCATCCGGCTCAAACGGCATCGTCTCGATCAAGTCCTCGGCCTCTTTCACCTGTCCGGCCCGAGCTAAAGTATCCACCATGCACACGTAGTGCCGATACTCCGGCTCGCAGCCATACTCCTCCCTCATTGAAGTGAACTGCTCCAAGGCCACTCGCAAAAGTCCGGCGTGACTGCACGCTGAGAGGACGCTCATGAGCGTCACCTTGTTGGGCTTGACACCGTTGAGCAGCATATAGTAGTACGTATCCAGTACCATCAGCCACTGACCGTTGTGAGCACAGGCAGCCACCATGGAGCTCCACATTACCATGTCCTTGAGCGGCATTCGATCAAACAGCGACTTTGCTTGGCTCAAGCTCCCGCACTTGCTAAACATGTCCAGCAGCGCAGTCACCACGGTTACGTCCGTTTCCAGATGAGTCCCAACGATGTCATCGTAGATGATCCGGCCGACTTCTATAGCCGAGAGGTTGCCGCAGACGTAGAGAGTGGTGATAAAAGTCACACCGTCGGGGCGCTCGCCTTCGAGGTCCATCAACCGGAACTGGAGAAGGGCCTCCTTGCTATGACCGTTCTGGGCATAAGCTCCCACCATTGCGGACCAGGAAATAAAACTCTTCACCGGCGTCTTGTCAAAAGTAGCCTTTGCTTCCTCGACTTTGGAACTCCTGGCGTAGGCCACCAGGAGAGCTGTCCAAGCTATCACATTCTGCTCCGGCATATCGTCGAATGCCTTCTTCGCATCTTCCCAGCAGCCGCAGCAGCCATACATGTTGACGAGAGCGTTTCCCACTTTCTCTGCTGTGTGAAACCCCATCTCGGCGGCATTTGAATGAACAAGCCGGCCAGCTTCCAGCAAACCGACTGTAGCACAGGCGTCCACAGTGCTCACAAAGGTGCTCTCCGTCGGCTTGACACCTTCCTGTCTCATCCTCCTGTACATCACTAGAGCCTCGTCGCAATGCCCGTTCTGGGCATAGCCGGCTATCATAGCGTTCCAAGGCACGGCAGTCCGGACTGGCATCTCGTCGAACAGCTTCCTGGCTTCCTGGAGATAACCATTCTGGGCATAGTTCGAAACCATAGCCGTCCACGAAACCACGTTCTTCTCCGTCATCGCGTCAAAAATCTTCCTTGCTTCCTGGAGATATCCGTTCTCGGCATAAGCTGCCACCATGATGGTCCACGAGAAGACGTTGGGTTCCTGGATCCTGTCAAATGCCTTCTTCGCCTCTGCCACACTCCCACACCTCCCGTACATCTGGACCACCAGATTTCCCAGAAACGTTTCCTGATCAAAGCCGCGGTTGATGATGTAGTCGTGAAGTGAACGCCCCTTCAACAAGGCCCGCTCGTGAGTGTAGTGCCGAAAGAGAGATACCACCGTGTTGAAGGCTAGTTGTCTCCCGGCAAAAAGAACGCTCTTGTCTCCGTCACCTCCGACCGCGTCATGAACGCTACAGCAGACGTTCGCCATTCCTCTCGAGCGTTTAAAACAAAACTGTTCACGCGACTGGCCTATCCCATGTCGTTTCAGATGTTTCTAAGTTTCCGTAATAGACATCACCAGATTTTTCATCGTAGAATGCCTGATATATGCAATATCAGTACATAGCCTATATCAAAACACTCAATCGTACCTTCCACCCCGGTGCAAGACCTTTCGAAAGCACGTCCAGATTTGGATGCTTCTTGCTTGTTGAAGAAACTTTTGATTGACCTTCTTTCCTTGCTCGCTTCACCCTATCCCTCCTGGAAGTGTGTTCATCATCAGGCAAAGGCAGTAAGTGGACGTCAGACTTACCAGTCTATTGGTCCTAGAGGTTGAAAATTGACGTTGTCCAAAGCTTGTCCACTTGCAATCTGCTCCCTGCGCCAATCATCAATCTCTCTTTGCCTCTTTCTTTCTATTGCCTCGTGATCATATAGTTCTTTCTCGCCATCTTCATCATCACTTTCATGCAACTCTTGCTTCGCAGCCATCCACTGCAGAAAAGACACAACCAAAAATTTACTTAGAACCCAATCAGAATGAGAAAAACAAAACACTACCTTGTTTACAAGGGATGACATTTTGCTTGTTTTACTCACGAGAACTGGCGCATTTCCCTTCTTCATTCGCGTAGCTGCACACATGCTAGCGTCAGAACCACACATCTGACATAAAGACACGAAATACCTTTACTTGCTTTTTTAGCAGCGGCTGCCGCTGCTTCCACAAGTGCCGCACTGCTCGCAGATGTAGACGTCTCCATTTCTCCGCGGGGTGGAACCGCGTCTCTGTTGGTTGTTAGATCAGAAAGAGGTTCTTGCGCTGGCGGCGGGGGAATAATTTCTGGCTCGGGAGGTGGCGGAGGAGCAGAGTCTTCATCAGGTGGCGGCACAGCCTGCTGGATCATTTCAGGTTCCTCAATATCCATATCGACCTCCATATCAACATCTTCGTCTTCAGCTCTCACACCAGCCTCTTGCTCTTGCTGCTCGGCTACAAGCAACGACTCAATTCGTCGTATATGAGCTTCTGTATTTGTCCACATGAGACCGTCAGTCATTCCTTGCGCCATGAGCAGCCGGCAATCGGATAGCCGTATCTCTGCTTCGACAGCCAGCCGTATGCGATTTGGTAATGTCACCAAAGCGTCCCTGCGGAAACACTGTCAGCTCAAAACGACCAATGCATTATTTGCTCACCCGCAAAGACCTTTCAAGCGTTCGCAAATTGTCTCTCCGAGTTGTACGAGGGCAGCTGATCCAAGCCGCGTATCAGCGTCGTCTGAAGTCCCGACTAATCCAGAATAGTTCACATCACAGATGGCCGGAGCGTAAGTGGCTTGCAATCCCGGGTAAGACTCTGAAGGTAAAGGTGCCACGCCTACAGCAGCCTCTACAGAACCGTCGTGCTTGTTCCAAGTTGTTTCCCCAGTCACCACATTCCAATAGTAATACTCCCCACTTTCCTCGTGAAGAACAGCTCTCCAGTCGCATTTCTCCGATTCATTCTCTGCGAGCACTTTCTCGACAACGTCCCCGATCATGGAGGCCAGAGACGGACGACTTGTTCTTTCCACAACCGATCTGATCTCCGCAGCTTCTGTTGTTGGCTCAACAACTTGTTTCGCTTCCGGTTCCGAAGTCTCGGACGGATTCGCGTCTAGCAATCCGCTTGTCTCAAGCTCGGCAATAAAATCAGCCACCTGATTCACAGAGCAACCACTCAGCGGCTAGAAATACAAAGTAGATTCTACCTCTGCATCCATTTTCTTTTCATCGATATTTCCAGAAGAGGTTTTCTCCTCCGACTCCACCTTCCCATCATCGTCGGCATCGTACTGGCCCAACAACGATAACGAATTCTCTGGAGCACCTGGAGCACCAAGAACTCGTAAGAACGCTTGAAAAACGCCAGAGGGACTTCTTCCAGATATCCACAGCAAGACTAAACTGCGAGAATCATACGAACCGCAAAGGCCATTTGCTGACGAGCCGCTACCATCTTTCTTCGCTGCTGGTTCTGAGTAGTAGACCTCACAAACGAAAAGAAGAAGTGACCAGCCTTGTGCTTCTGGACGCTTATAGAGTTTTCAAGCAACCGAGCGAGGCCCAGCACACAGTTCCAAAGCGGTCGGCCATCAAAAGCATGCCCGAGTAACCCACCTGAGTTGGATGGTGGTGAAGCAGCGGCAGTAGTAGTGTCCCCATCGTTTCTAGATCTATCGGCAATCTCTTCTCCCGCTTTGGAATCGGCGGCCGCATTCTCTGAAAAGAATAAAAACTTCTCTCGATCGATGCAAAGATTGCGAGGTAATCTTACCTTGCGGCTCGGAATCTGTGAGATCGAGCTTCACCCGGCGACTAGTTCCCTGCCTGCGCTCTCGCCTCCGTCCCATGGCGCGATTGGAACCCTAACCTTCGATGAAGGAGAAGGAAAAAATGGAAGGTTTAAGAAAGCGTCGCCTGAGAGATTCGAACACTCGCGGGGAAACCCCATGAGGCACACGCCTTAACCACTCGGCCAAAGCGACATTAACAATGTGGAATCTTTTGGACGGATATTCAACGCTCCGTGTTTTAAATTCTTCGTCCACTGCATGGGCGGCGATGGCCAATTGCGAGCTGCTGGGCGATTTTGGAGGCATCCAGCTCTTCAGCGATGGCAGAATCGTCAGGCCCCAGTGGCCCGATCCCGATTGCCCTGCCGATCCGAGCTTCGAGAAGGGCGAATTTGGATGCAAGGACGTGATCCTGGACGAAGGAACGGGAATGTGGGCTCGAATCTTCGCTCCCAAATCGGCTACAGTGATCGACGATGCTAGCCCCACCGGTAAGCGCGCGCTACTCGTCTACTTCCATGCCGGTGGATTCGCCGCCACCTCTCCTGCTTCGATGCGATCCCACGGTATTTGCAGTGGTATCTCCCAGAAGATGGGGATGATCGTCGTCTCCGTCGCCTACAGGCTCGCGCCGGAGCACCGCCTCCCCGTGGCATTCGACGATTCTTTCGCGTCTCTTCAGTGGCTTCAGTCCCAGGCCCAGCAATCGCCCATGGATCGCGACCCGTGGCTCAAGAACGCGGATTTCTCCCGGATCTTCCTCATGGGCAACAGCTCCGGAGGGACAATCGTCCACTACATGGTTGCCCGATCGATCCGCAGGGACCTCTCGCCGCTGGGGATCAAAGGGCTGGTTTCAGTGGCTCCATTCTTTGGCGGCGAGGAGAGATCCAAGTCCGAGATCCAGTCGCTGGTCCAGCCCGACCTTCTCACACTCGCGCATTGCGATACTCTTTGGCGATTTTGTCTCCCCGACGGTGCCAACCGCGACCATGGTTACTGCAGAGTTCCGAGGGCTGAGGAGATCGCCAAGATCGATCCAATGCCGCCATTGCTGGTGGTGGTGGGAGCTGGAGACGTGCTCTACAGCCGCGTGGTGGAGTACTACGAAGAGCTCCGGAAAGCTGGGAAGGATGCAAAGCTTGTCGAATATCCAGATCGAGGCCATTTCGTGCTGTTTCCAGAGGTCGAGGGAGAAATGGAGTACTCGTACGGAGAGATGATTCAGTTCATGAACAAGTGCTCCAGCCTTTGACTTAATTAATCCAGGTTTTCTCCAAATAATCATGTTTAAACTCTTATTTTTGGTAGGGTTGCCTTAACAGTTCCATTTAGTATTATTTATTAATCCATTTGATCAATAATTATAATTATTAATTAGAATATATTAGGAAGCGTTTTAAAAAATCTATAAATTATAATAATTTAAATAAATAACAACTGTAAATGGTTCCACCCAAAGGCATTTGTTTTTCATTTATAATATGAGAAGAAAAATAATATCATTGTTTCAAAAACATTGATCACATGAAAAGCTCGTAGGTAGAAATACCTCGCTTTCCCACACTAGCTTTCGATGCCTGCGCAAATCCCAGAGTTCTAGCGCCCGGCAAGTAGCTCGTAAGATCTTGCAAGCTCTTCCCCAGGCAAGAAACATCACGCTCCGGCCACGACACGAGCAATCTCGCGCGCAGAGATTTCATCTGGCAGTAGCTCAGCACCGCGGCCGCCGGCCCATCGATCAAGCTCCCCGACGGCAAGAACGGGGGGATTCGCTGCTCTCTCTTCTCGGCTCTCATCGCGTCGGTCTCGAGAGTGAAGAGCATCGGATCGTCCACCGAGAGCCTGGACCGGAAATTCTCAGCCTGGAGGAGCTCCATCGCGAGAATCGCCTCCGGATTCACGGCCGCGAAGAGAACCCTGACCCACTCGTGGTATTTCTCGGGCGGGATCCGGTACTGGACGAGCGCCGCCACGATCGAGCAATCCCCGTCCAGAGCGTAGAGGCAGCAACAGTGATCCTCCGGCGATGGAGCAGCGATCGAGTTGCCGGCCATGGAGATTCCCGGCAGCACAATCGATGCGAGGAGCTTCTTGCCTGGGATGTGGTGGAGGAGGGTGCACGACGGCCGCGAGAAGCCGAGGAGGAGGAGCTCCGGGCGGAGGATTTTCGCCTCGTCGTTCCTCCATGCCACGAATGGCGCCGGAGTGGGGATTACCTGAGAGGGATCGTCGCTGAGAAGCTCCAGGTCTTCCGGATCGAAGCGAGACGGCGGCGGGAGCTCCGTGAGAGGATCGCTGTGCGTTGCCATTGAGGCTAAAACCCTAAAAATATTTTTAGGGTTCTTGTATGGTATATTCACTCATTTGAAAACCGGCTACATTTAACGTTCTTACATCAAAGTCTTTGCGGAGTCTTGAGATCTAGAACAAGTTGAAAATTCAAAGTCATATAATTGAAAGTTCTAGTTTTTCTCCAATTCTCTCTCTTTTTTCCTATCAGAGACAAAACTGTCCTGCCCTGGATTTTCTTGACACGGCAGTGTTCTTCCTTTTTTCTATTATTTTTCTGCTATTTCTCCAAGAACACCTTGGGCTCTAGCTTGGATCTGCAAACATTGATCACAAGATCTCCCAGTTATTTCTCAAGGTAAGTAGTGCTCCAGCTCCAAACACTATGGGCATCTGGGAAGAAGATTTTTCATCGGATTCGCCAGAATCAAGCAGCAGAGTGAGCTGCGCGACATCTAATGATCAATTCCGAAGATTGGAATGCACGTATTCCCCAAGATGCCTTCCACCATGGCTCAGCCGAGGAATCCAACGTCTCTTCACTAGAAAGCTCGTGTTTCCCACTTCCAGCCCATCCGAGAAGAAGAAGCAGCAGCAAATCGGTCACTCCACTGCTCTAAACTTCCACAGCATACCCGAAGAGCTCGTAGAGCTGGAGCCATCTTCGCCGTCAGTGAGTTGCATTGGCCATGTCAGTGCTGGAAGAGGAAAACATGGCAGGATTATTCGCGAGAATAATCACTTCTTCCGGAGACCAGGGAGGATTCTTTGCATGGGAGGCAGAAACTCAATCAGACTAGAGAAGACTGGATCCGAGCTTCTCTCGCCGCAAGCGCCAACGTCTCGAGCTCCTGCCTCGGTCTTACCCAAAAATGGAGAAATTGCAAAAGAAACTGGAGATAGGAAAGTTTCCAAGTTGGGGATTGATTGCGAGGAACCCCAGCGAATGAACGACTGTGGCACGCAAAGCAGCTGTTCTTCCTCAAGTGACAACTTGAGCCCGAGGCTTGAAGTTTGTCTATGGAAAAGGAGGTGCGTTCCTCCACCACAGCTGCTTAATCTCGAGCCATTGCATCCTATACCTTGCATTGTTAATCTCCCATAACAAACTCGATAGCTAGTGTTAGTCAAGATTTTGTATCAAGGTTTTAGAAACTGAATTTGCACCTTGAATCACTTTGTGCTTTTAGTAATTTGAACATTTTTAAAAAACATTTATAATAAATAATGTTTTCTTTGTATTTGTGTTTTATTTGTAAATAAAGAACCTGTATTGATACTAAGAAAAAAAAATTCTATCAAGTAGACATTAAAGTCAATCATTTTTACTATAATTCATTTAAATAATATTAAAAACTCAATCAGATATCTATAAATGTATTTTATTCATTTTTAATTTTTATATATGTTTTTCTTTGTCCTTATCTCATATAAGCTTAATTGAGATAATGTGTGTTAGAACATTATAAATTAAGCATTAGGGAAACTAATTTAAAATGTTACTCATAACATATTATTTATATATAAAATTCTTAGAATTATATAAATTTTTTATGAAATAAGTTCTTTAAGGAGTTATTTAATTTTTAAGTATAATTTTAATTTAATTAAATCATTATAGAAAATAATAAAATAAAATAAAATTATAAAAAATAAAATTATTAAATAACATAGCATTTCTTCTTTTTAGTAATACAAAAACTCTTTAATTTATTTGAAGGGGTTCATCTTTTTAAATTTTGATGATCACAATCAATTCAATAGTAAAATTATTAAGATTTAAGTTCTTGAAACTATCAAGATTTAATAGTAAAATTATATTATGATTCAAAGTTATAAATTTTTAAAATTTTAAGTATGTTATATCTTTTTCTCAATATATGTTAAATTAATTCAAATTATGCTACCTCAAAAGCAAGGATTAAAATAAAAACTCTATGCAATAGAAAGGCAATATCTACAATATAAAGTACATTACCATGCTATCATAAGTTACATTTCAATTTAAAAAAATTTAAAACTATTGCAGTGAGGAATGATAAATTACATTTCTGAAGTGCCACTATAAAGAAAAAAAATTAAATTTTCATAAATATAGATAGGAAATTTTCCTTTTAAAACCAAAAAAACGTATCCTAAAGGTCATAGTTTTTGTTTCTCTTCAAAAATGTAAAAACTTTATTTAATTTCTAAGTATAAAATTTATTTAATAATAATATTATAAAAATTAATAACTATGGTATTGTAGTATAATAAATAACAATGTGTGGACAAAGTGTTAAACACCAAAATTTTATAAAAAATATACACTATATCAAAGAGTAGCAAAATTGTAAATTAAATTTTTTGTTAAAGGTAAAGATTTCTTTTATTCTCACAATTAATTTCTTTTTTTATTTTGTTAAAACTTAATTATAAATACAAAACGTTTTCACTTTGAAAACTAAAATAACATCTTATGACAAGAATATTTTTTTGTTTTCAAAGATATATAAAAAATTAAATGAGGTTTATTATTGTTTTTCATTATTTAAATAATTATTATGATTTTAAAAATTTGTAAGTCAACAGAAAATTTATTTTTCCACTAGGTTACAAAATTTACATAAGATTAATTATTTATTACTAAATAATCATATAGTAAACAAATACCAGCCAGATTCAAGACTCACAATAAGATAAACAGCATCAACACCATCATCCAATCATAATTCCACATAGCATCCACCATGTATACTGCTTGTCGAAGTTCAAAAACTAACTCTCCCAAAGTGAAGCGCACAGGACTGAATCGTCTCACCAAACTTGCGATGTTACTAACTCGGGACACATTAGGAATGACTGAAGGAGATACGGCGAGTCTAAGCTCTTCAAACTTCCAGTGGCTCCAACCGATCGAGTGCGCATGAAAGGAGGCGAGCGAAGTTACCTTACATGCTTTGGTGCGTCTCTTCACTTCCTGCAAAACAGTCCAAAGTTGGTATAACGAAACACTCGCACAATGGCGATAAGATCGGTGTGACAGTAAAACGTCTCTCACCTGCATTTCCTTGCAGACACGCTCGGTCGTGTCAGCCGAAACCCATTGACAGGGATGCTCCAGTTTCGGATGGCTTTCTTTTCACCTGTAAGTTCCACAAACCATATTAATAACAGTCTCTCTTGGTGGAAAGAAGAAGAAAACATGCACCGTCGCTTTCCGCAAGGAACCGGCTTGTACTGGGCCTTCGAAGTGCTTCCTTAGGCTCTCGCGTCAGTTGTCTTGGAGTTCAAGTTCCTAAAAAATACAGTGCTTGACTGCCAAGGCGCAATTCGATGACTAGAGCTTAGTAGCGTACCCTCGTTGAAGCGGTCGCTTCGTCATTTGCTACGAGCTGACCTCCCTCAAGCTGTTTGGCTACAACTCCACCGTCTTTCTTTTCGGAAAGAAGATCTTGTGGTGACGTGCCTGCAAGAGTAAATATGTCCGAGACTAGAACGTTCACTCAGCCAGCCTACGACTACCCTTGAATTTCCGGTATGCTAGAGAGCTCGAAGGCTTTGCTGCTTCAGAGGACTCCAGAAACTCCACCTGGTGTCAAACTAACAGATAAAGCGATCAGGAGGGAACACGAAGACGAAGAAAACTCTTTCGTCGGTGGAAGCTCCAAGCGTTCCTCCGCTTCCGTTGTGCTGAAGGGAAGATTCTTAACGAGGAGAGCGTGATCTCCTCCAGCATCTCCACATGGTTTTACGCCTTGCTGAGCTAATGACCGCTTCGTCTCCGAAAGGACGTGCCTTTCTCCCAGAGCAAGACGCTCGGCAACGTCCTCAGCTTCTGGATCCAGAAAACTCACGTCTGGAGATCCCATATCTTGGCCACCTGCGTCACGCAGTGATCAAACTGTAAGAGTTGAGTCAACTCTACACACCGTATAATCTGACCAGGATTCCATGCTTGCATATTGCAGCTAGACTCCTTTTTCTTGCACTCCCACCTCCCTCTCTTGTTTCAGGTTCATGGAACGATCTCTAGAATCCCGGAGAGGAGACATGAAATGCAGGTAAGAGTCTTCCTTGGCCCTGCATATAACAGGGATTTAGTCCTTCAGAAAACTCAGCACCTCGTTGCTGCTTCTGGTAGAGCATTGTCACAAATCAAATGAACTTGGACAACTTCCCCATACTGGCCGAACAGGGAAACCAGTTCCTCTTCACTGGTAAGGAAAAACACGAGAAAACAAGATGAGGCTATGACGTTTGAAGAACACACTTCGTGGTGTATGCAAGGTTGCGCACGAAAAGCCTCCCGGTTACATTCTTCATTAGCAGGACGATCGACAGTACCACCTTGCTCTTGCGGCTTGGCCGTTTCCTTGTCGTCACCATTGTCACTGGCGGACAGCCACATGGCTGACACGTCGCGTAAGGAGACACGTCCGGTTCTTTTGGTGGTTGTTTCGATTTAGAGAATTCAATCTGAAGAAAAACCACAACATGGTACGGTTCATCGATGACGAGGAGACGAAGACAGCAACATAGGATGCATAGACGTGCACGAGCAGCAGCACAACACATCACCAGACGCATTAGAGCGAAGAGGATGATGGTTCAGTTGGTTAGGGTTCTTCTAAACTGGAACTCAAATGGACCGAGTGGATAGGAGTGTCTCCCAGGGAGATGGCTACTGTGATATTGTGTATGATAAGCTCTTTCAGCCAGTGTGCTCGGACTCAATCTGGACGAGAGAACGGTGAACTCCTAGCCTTATCTCCGTTGGACAATCCGGCGATTGGCTGTGCAGAAGTTCTTCAAGTAAAGAGATATTCTTTAGAAGGCCTGAATGCTGTACGTAACATTTGGTATCTTTCTGTCTTGTGTCTAGTATGTGCTTTCGAGGTCTACCAAAAGATTTGAGACATGAACGGAAGTACTCATGAAGGTGTTGCCTTTAATTGCAGCTTCAGCTTTTCTTGTAAATTAGTGGACAAATTTAACATTGAAGGGTTAAGGATTTTAAATTCACAGTGATTGTGAATTTTTACTG